CACAAAGAGTCAGACAGACACGATTGAGTGAATGAACTGAAAAGCAGTAGCCTATAACCCTGTAGCACCGTTTTTTTTCCTTCCTTTTTCATTCCCTCCCCTGTACTAGGTATTTTTTTATTACATTAAATAGAGACATTGTGATTGCCTTTAAGTAACTCAATTTAAGGATTTATAGGAAAAGATGAAGAATAGAGGCTCAACAATGTAGCTCTGTCTCATACTGAAAAAGAATCAGCCATAGAGCCAGCCCCTTCAGAAACAGGTGCCTTTTGTTTCCTATATAATAGGTTTTCCCTCCTGAGTTAGTGATTCTGACCCTTCTAATCTGTCTCCATAACTAGTGCTTTTGCTGTTTTTTACTAGCTATCTCAAGTGTCCATCCTGTCCTAGAGCCCTACCTGTGTGTGCTGTTCTCTCTCTTATTATTATTTAAGCTCTTGTTCACATTCCAAGGGAGAGTATCTGATTGACTCTCTTAATGATCTGCTGGTGCCAGGCCAGCTCTTAGATCATTAGCCAGCAGAGTCTTTATTCTTGGTCACAGAGTACGGAGTATGGTGATGTGTAAGACCTGTCAGAAGAGCCATTGGCATAGCAAGCATTCAACATTACCATTCCTCCTCCTTTATAACAATTGATTTACTTTTAACCTATTAAGGATAGTTACTAGACCGGATTTTCCCCCAAATCAGTCAGCTGCATATTTATTGATTAAGGTTTCAGTGAACTGCTGATCCCATGTTTGAAATGTTGAGGTTTTTTCCTCCTAATTTCATTCTTAGATGAATTTCATTCTTAGCCACAAAACAAAGAACAGTCTTCACCACCTTTTAGCCACAACTTAAAATAAAACCGTGGTCCTGATTGTTGGTCCAAGAAAGCCCATCTGTTAAAAACTATGAAGAGAAGAGAAAAGTAAAGTGTTTCCATTCTTGTTAGCATCTCTAAATTTGTAGGAAGAAGAGATTGAAGCTATGAGCTGAAATAAGGTTTTTGGATTAATAGCTCCATACGGGTTTGAATCCTGGCTTTCTCATTTACTCAATGATAGTTGAGTATCAGGCTCCCCCAGTGGCTCAGCAGGAGAGAATCCACCTGCAACACAGGAGCTGGAGGAGATGCAGGTTCAATCCCTGGGTTGGGAAGATCTCCTGGAGTAAGAAATGGCAACACACTCCAGTATTCTTGCCTGGAGAATCCCATGGACAGAGAAGCTTGGCAGGCTACAGTCTATAGGGTTGCAAAGAGTCAGACACAAATGAAGCGACTTAGCATGCTTGCACAGATGAGTATCTTTTCTAAGTTTCAGTTTATTCATGAATAAAATGGGGATTATGGTATTTGCCTCATGTAGGTGTTGGGATTAAATGATAGGATATTTGCAAAGCCATGAAACTAAAAGATGATTGCTTCTTGGAAGAAAACCTATGACAAACCTAGACAACATATTAAAAAGCATAGGCATTACTTTGCCAACGGAGGTCTGTATAATCAAAGCTGTGGTTTTTCCATGTATGGATGTGAGAGATGCACCATAAAGAAAGCTGATTGCCGAAGAATTGATGCTTTTGAACCATGGTGTTGGAGAAGACTCTTGAGAGTCCTTTGGACTGCAAGGAGATGAAAGCAGTCAATCCTAAAGGAAATCAGTCCTGAAAATTCATTGGAAGGACTGATGCCAAAGCTGAAGCTCCAATATTTTGGCCACCTGATTTGAAGAACTGACTCATTAGGAAAGACCCTGATGCTGGGAAAGATTGAAGGCAGGAGAAGGGGATGACAGAGGATGAGATGGTTAGATGGTATCACCAACTCGATGGACATGAGTTGAGCAAGCTCTGGTAGATGATGAAGGACAGGGAATCTTGGCGTGCTGTAGTCCATGGGGTTGTGAAGAGTCGGACATGACTGAGTGAACAACAACAACAACAATGCAAAGCAGTTAGTCACGTGCTTGGCACATAATAAATACGTGAAAAATATTAGTTCCCATTATCTCTAGGTCATTGTCTTACTAATAATAAAGTCTTACTAATAATATTGGTACATCAATAAGTTCATAGTGCTAATGAAAATTAACATTTCTTGATGCATAAGCTGAGACCTAATTATTGGGCCTTTGTTTATTCAGTGCTGTGTTAGGTACCAACTGGATATGTGAAATGTCAATCCTAGAAAATTTTTAAGGAAACTCAATCATGTGATGGCATTATTTTGTTGGAATTTGGACTCTATAACTAGCTGTGTGAATTACCTCTCTGTGCCTCAGTTTCTTCATCTGTAAATTGGAGGAAATACCTTATAGGATTGTTGTAAGGAATACATGAGCTAATATATGTAAAGCAAATAGAATACTGCCTGAAACATGGTAAATGCTAACAGTTGAATACTTGGGCCTAATCGATCAGCCATTTTCTTCTCTTAAAGTGAATGAGTTTCTTTGTTGGAGGTTTATAGTGTATCTTTAGTCTCCATCATCAGGACAGTTGAGTCTAGGTGGAAGAGTTGAGTGAGCTGAAAGACATGGTTTGAAGATTATCTTGTTCCATTTTGAGATTGGACACTAGACTTTTCATATCTTGCCAGCTCTCCTTTGGTTATGCTTTGTCAGAAAAAAAATGTATCTTGAAATTCTTAGAAACCTGATTTCTTCACCAAAGAACATTGAAATGTTCTTTTTGTGGGGGGTAGAAGAAGGGGGCTGCTGCTGATGTGAAAGTATGATAAAGGAAAGGCAATTTGAATAGAGATACTTTGATTTTAGCTTAACAAATCAAATTGGCCAAAGATTTTCTAATCAAAAGCTTCCTCTCAAGGGGAAAACTCATTTCTGATTTGTATTTCCTTCTCAAGAAGTGAGATTAATATGTTTTATTTCCATTATTAATGAGATTGAACATCTTTTTGTTATGTTTTTTGATTGAAAAAGACCCTAATGTTGGGAGAGATTGAGGGCATGAGGAAAAGGAGATGGTTGGATGGCATCATCTACTCATGGATGAGTTTGAGCAAGCTCTGGGATAGTGAAGGACAGGGAACCCTGGTGTGCTGCAGTTCATGGAGTCACAAAGCATTGGACATGATTTAGCAACTGAACAACAACCTTGATTACTATATTACATTTGTGATTACCTACTCATGTCCTTGATCTCTTTTGTTTGTTTCATGAGGAGACTGGTCTTTATAGAATAAGGACAGTAAACCCTTGCAAATACATTTCAGGTATACTTTTCGTCTTGTCAGTTATCTTCTTTTTCCCTTGGTTGTGCTTTTTAACTGCATAGAAATTTTTAATATAATGAATCTTAAAATTTCCCTGAAAAGTATCATCTCATTATGGTTAGAGAATTTCTGCTGAGTGTTATAAAACATGTCATAGTTTATATGTAGACTGATGCATATGATAGGCATTTTTCCTTATAAATAGGTGATTGACTGTCATAGGAAGAGTCTTTACAAACTAACAGTCCTGAGGCTGTAACACAATAATAATAGCTACCACTTACCGCACACTGCCTGTGTGCCAGGAAATATGCTAGGTCTTTTATATACTATATCCTAATATTCAACTTCAAGAAAAATATTACTACTGTCCACATTTCATAGGTAAGTGAAATGATTTGCCCAGGGTCACTGAGCTAGTTAGTGGCTGGATTGGAATTTTAACTCAAGTCTGCGTAACTCCAAAGTATATACTTTTTCTGGAGAGGTGGGCTTTTTGAGGCTTCAAATAAATTAAATTGGTCATAAAAGTTGAGTAAATATCTTTCACTAGAACTTGAAAAGATAATCTGCAGCATAGTTGGACAGCTCTCGGTTTGAGAGCAGAGTAGGAAAGGTAATGAGAAATACATAAACCAGCTGGAAGAAAGGTCTCCACTATCTAGGACAGTGGTTCTCAAAGTGTGATTTCCAGACCAGCAGCAGCACATCACTTGGGCCTTTATTAGAAAAGCAATTTCTCTTGTCACACTCCAAACCTACAGAATCAGAAGCTAGGGTTGGGGCCCAGCAACCTGCTTTATATTTGCAGCTGATTTTGATGCGTGTTAAAATTTGAGAGCCACTGGTCTAGGGGAATTATTTTATTCTCTCTAACCATAAATTTTGCTTTTGTGAGCTTCAGCCTAAGTCTAAGCCCTTAAGTGCAGAATAAGTATTATCAAGTGACAAAAGCATAGAACCTAACAGAAGCCAATTTTGAGTCCAGTTTAATAATCATTTAAGGCAGGTTCATCTCCCTGAGCCACAGTTTCCCATCTCTAAAATGATGTTAATAAAATCTATCTCCATTCAAGGTATTTTTTCAGAATTAGTAAGATAATATATAAAGTGCCTAGGACCTTGCCTGGATCCTAGGTGTTTGAGAAATTGCCTCCAGTGATTTTTCTTGTTAAGGAGAAAGCCCCCACCTGCCTTCTGTTCTCAACTTCTCTTGTTTCTTGAATGTGTTTCACTGTCTTGTGTCTCTGGGCCTTTATCTTAGCTATTTCTGTTGGCCACTCCTACCTCCCACCCCTTTACCTCATTAACTTCTATATATCCTTTAGATCCCTGCTTATAATTTACTTCCCCTGGACAGGACTTTTTCAAACCCCCATTCTGCAGTCTTTGTGCTCACATAGCATCACATATTCCTCCTGACACTACACTTACCACAGCTTTGGAATTGCTTGTCTCCTGTATAAACATCATTGGACAGGTCCAGTGTCTCCTCTGTACCATATTCTAGGGCCCAGTAAAGATTCTCACACATTATAGGAGCTAATAAATGTTGAATGAATGAATGGTGGCTGTCATTATTGCTGCTTCATCATCTTCATATCATCCAAGAGCAAGGTTTCCTCCCTGGCTTGTGGTTTTTGTGCTTGTGATAATCATAAATAGTTTTAGAACCAGTGCCTATTTTCTCTTTTCCTGAAAGCACATATTTTTACCTAGTCTGACATGGTAGTTCACTGAGCTGCTTCCTAACCACTGATCTCTCTGTGTCACAGGTACCTTGGGGGAGCTGTGTGCCTTGATGGATCAAGTTCATCACATGCACAACCAGAAATGGCAGCATCCTTCAGACCTCACCAGGCGGTGAGTGGGTATTTAGAAGAAGCGAGAAAAGGGTAGAATTGCGCTGCAGGAGAAATGTGGTAGGGCTTTGGGGCTGTAATTGTTGTTTAACTGCAGAGATAGAAAAGAAGTGATATAGTATAATGGAGTAAGAATTGGACTACAATTCAGGAAACTTGGGTTTTGATACTAGCTTTGCATTTTTTAACTAGCTACATGATTGTGGTCAAATTACTTCATTTCTCTGGTCCTTTCAACAGTAAAATAAGATATTGGACTAATTGAGCTCAAAGGGCCTTTCTAGTCTTAAAATCTTTTGGCTTCTTGATGCATTGTTGTTTTACAGTTCTATTCAGTTACTTGATCCAATTACTCAGAAACCTTGGAGTCACCTGTAAGTCCTTACTCCATAGTCAGTACATCAGCAGATCCTATAAGCTCTTATGTATAATATTATCCAGAACTTGACCATTTCTCAATCATTTTCACTTGGATTGTTGCAAGTCTTGTAAATGGTCTTCCTACTTCTGCCCTTGCCTGTGTAGTGTAACTTGAGCAGCCAAAGAGATTGTCAGCCATAAACATAAGTCAGAATCTCTTTGTTCAGAATTTTCCAGTGGCTTCCCATCTCCATGATCCCCTGCAAGTGCCTATATGCATGGTCTAACCTGGCTTGGTTAGCTCGTCAACGTCCTTTCCTCTATTGTTCACCTTGCTCAACTCTGCTCTGGTCACACTGGCTTCCCTGTTTTTCAAGTATATCAGATGTGCTCCCACATCAGGGCCTTTACACTCAGCATTTCCTCTATAGTAACCAAAATGACAGCAGTGCTCACAACAGCAGTGTTGTGTAATAGTTATTAAATTCTGCAGTCAGATGTGAATTCAAATCTAGGCTCTTGTACTTACTCTACTATATGACCTTGGGGAAGTTATTTTATCTGAGGCTCAGTTTCCTAAACCTGTACAAGGAGTTTAAATTAGAGTAACTTTGCTGGTAAGATTGTCATTAGGATTAAATGAGGTGACATGTTTAAAGAATTCAGCAAGTATTTGCATATGCTGCTGCTGCTGCTAAATCATTTCAGTCGTGTCCGATTCTGTGCAGCCCCATAGACGGCAGCCCACCAGGCTCCCTCATCCCTGGGATTCTTCAGGCAAGAGCACTGGAGTGGGGTGCCATTGCCTTCTCTGGTATTTGCATATAGGGCTAGATAAATGCCAAGTGCTACTAAAATTACTTTCAACTTTGGCTCTTCCACATAATTACCTATGGAGATACCTAAAAATACAGATGTCCAGGGCTTGACTCAAGGGACTCTTAAGTTATTAAGTCTAAAGGTGGAGAGAGGGGCCAAGAATCTGTATCTTGAAAAAGGAAAAAAAAAAAACGCTTCCCAGGTGTCTTTTAGGAACAGCTGAGTTGAGAAGGGGATGAAATTAACTCAGAGGGCTCCAAGCCCCAGCCCAGTACACGACTAAAGAAGGCTCTCAGTCTTTTGAGTCTGTTCAGCCTCTTAACTTGCAGTGTGATACCCATGTGATACCTTACCTTCTCTGGGAATTTTATTCTAATTTTAACAGCTGTGTCCTGAGCAACCTTGAGCTGTGTCAGACAGCGAGGTCCCGTTGGAGGTACGGATCTGATGCAAGCAATATATAAATCCTGTCCTGAACGTTTCCAGAGGAAGAAATGGTTTTTTCCCACCTAAACATTACTATACGCTACACACTAGTTTTTCTTAGAATATTCATGTATATGGACCATATTACCATAATACTTACATGGGAATTAGGTGTCTTTGGAAATTGGAGGGAAATAGCACTTACAGAATGACTTTCATATCAGGAAAATAATACAAAATTTCTAAAATTGTGAGAATCAAAATATGAAATGAATATCCAATTTTGTAAAATAACAATATTCTTTAAATAGTTATCTTGGCCTTTTTTTGTGTATAAATAGCCATTCCGGCTGAAACCCTCATCTGTTCTCTTTTTATTTTCCCCCTCTCCTGATAGAAACTACGCCCGGTTCCGACAGAAATCTCTGCAAAGATACAGTCTGACCCAGTGGGTTGACCAGAATAAGCGAAGCCACCATCGGTTCCAGCGTCTACCAGATTTCCCATACGGTCCACTTGTCTCCTCCCATCAGCAGTGAAGGGCCCTATCCAGGGTCCTGTCCAAAGCAGCATCTCATCTTCTGCTGTTCCATGCTTTGTAGATTTCAAATTTTATTTTTCACAATATTTTTATTTAAAGAACTTGTCACCTTTTGGAAATGCATATTGCTGACTTGAAATTTTTTGTATAGGGTCCTTCGTTTCTGTGTGTGTGTATGCATTTAAGCAGTGTTGAGTTTACATAGTTTTAATTTTTTAATTTAAATTAAAGGTGGCTGCCTCCTGAAAGCCAGCATTAAGTCAGAACATCCCGGCTCAAGCAAAGAGCCACCTCTCTGCAGAGGTGAAGTCTACTTCTGGTGCCCAAAAGAAATCATTCTTTAATCTCTTGAAGGAAGAGATTCTTTATCAGGCTGCAAACCAGTTTTAATTATTGCTGATGACTTATAAATGGATACAAGTCACTTTTAACAACCCTTCTTACTTTTCTTATGTGAATCTCTGAATACCCGTCAGTATTTTAAAGTTAGTAATTCAGGACATCTGAAGTAGTTGAAAGGACAAATTAAAAGTGTAAATCTTCTTTTTGTACCTACTAGCTGCCTTTATTTTTTTGGCTTTTTTTTTTTTTTCCATTCTTCATTAAATTTATTTTGCACAGTAGTGTTTACAAGTCTTACATATCTCAGCTCTTGGCAGAAGCCTGGTGGCTGACAGCCCTGTTGACTGTGGTCTAGTGGCCGGTTGCCTGCTCTGTCCGTCCGCACGGATCCCCTCCCTCCCTCGTTTCCCCAGCGGCCGTAGGGCTCTGCTGGCGGGTTCCGTGTCCTTGTGGGCGTAGACGCCTCCTCAGGACAGCCTCACTGCACTCGGTACTGAAGAGCTGTCCGCCCAGAGTCTTGACTCCAGGACAGGCCAGAAGGCAGTGCTGTTGAGAGGTGTGAGTTGGTCTTCAGTCTCATCTGCTGAACCCAGCTTTGAGTATGAGTTGGCGAGTTAGTTAGCCTCCATCCTGTAGAAGAGACTTTTGAGAAGCTGTCCTTTGTCTCCATTATTAGTTAATAAGAGGTGCCTTTTGATCCAGATGTTACCACCTCCTCACTTGGTCAGAGGATGTACAGTTTTACAAAACTACTAAAGTGGATTTAAAATAGTTTTGATGAAGCCTGTGCACAAAGCATTACCTGATCTTAAGGATTAGTACTCTTAAGCCAAGTTGATGAGCTTTGTGCAACTACCTTAATGGATGTCTTTGGAGTTTGTTATTCCTTTACAGATGGCTCTAGACATCTCTTGGGAGATTTTACAGTCTGGCATTTGTGCTCTTGTTCACTCTCAGTGAAGGTTGTACCTAGTTGCTGTAGCACAGCCTGTGATACTGGGCTCACTGCCTGTCAGGTTTTGTTGTTCCATCAGCCCCATCTTTGTCTGCAAGTAACCTAACATAAACATCCTACTCTGCTTTAGAAACTGACTTGGGAGAAACTTGGTCATTGTTACCAGTAAATTTAGATGGATGTCCCTAAGTGTTTACCATTTCTGTCCAGTCAAGGAGTCTTTTCCTTGGAAATTTGGTTGAAAGTCTGGGGCCAAAATGCAAAGGAGAAGTTCTATTCAAAGGCAAGAGTCAAAATCTGTTATTTCAGTTGGAATTTACAACGTCAGTCACTTCTCCAAGTTTGCGTAAATCAGCTTGATGGAGTGGGACAGACAAACATCCAACTTTGAAACTATAGCACAGTTAGAACTAAGTATTGCTGGAATATCTAGCATTGTAGTTGTCTTGTTCCCCACAGATCACCAAGGAGTAAAGGGATGGCCATTTGCTTGGGCAGAAGTCTGAAGTCTCATGCTCTTACCTCCTTGGTGCAGGAAGGTTTAAGACTGACGTGTCACGGGAGCATCGCCTTTGCCAAATCTAATGAGTGACGGGTTATCTTGAAAATGTGACAATCACATTTCCTCTTTGCTCAAATAATTCTGTTTTTCCAAAGCTTTAGCAGCTTAATTAAATCTGTTGGACTGGGGGAGGAGAGAACTGTTCCCTAGCGGTTAACATGGTATTCTTTAAGAAGAAAAACAAAGCCAAAGAAAACTCATTATCAGGCATGTTCGCCTTAAAGATGGTGGTGGGTAGAATCTGGAGTTTGAATTTGTTTTTAAAAGTGCTTACATATCTCATATTTGGTGTTGGCCTCTTAAGTCTAATTTTCATGTAGAATTCTTGCTGTATTGTTTTATTTGAGTAAGGGCTCTGTGCATTGAACTGCCTACCAAGCTTTCTTTATCTGTGATGACATTCTCACCACAGGGGTCTTAACACTGCAGAGTAGACTTGTGCTGTTTACATAGTTTACTTGTAACTAAAAGAGCCTGAAATAACATGTAGTTTTCCATCTAATTTGACCCCAGTTTACTTTGGTTGTTGTCAGGATCAATTATGAAACTGAAGTTTGGTGCCTCCTGTGTATCATGTTTTTCCCCTTGTAGCAGTTGTGTTTAATGTCATTAAAAATAAATAAAAGTTCTTGTCAGTGGCTTATGTACTATGGCCTTCTCTTGCGGCCTCTGGAGGAGGGTTCCTTCCTTCTCTACATAGGTAGCTTGGTGGGGTGTGGGAGGGGGCGGCAGTTAGTAGAACGTGGCATTGGGGAGGCGAGGGTGTGTGCTCCCAATTCTTCTGAGGGTAAATTACAGTGTTGAGAAAGGCGTTCCAACAGTTAAGAAATGCTGAGATTGATTGGGATCTGCAGCTACATATAGTGCACGTCAGGAGCCTGACAGAGAGCCCAAAATATCCCTGTGCTCCTGTTTTTGCAGAGGTGGGGAGGACTCAGCCCCGTCACACAGGCCTTGCGGCGAATTCCTTCCTGTGGCTGGACAGCTGCCCCCTGTGGCTCTCTGCCCTCAGTGCCAGCATTGACAGGAAGAAGCCGAGCTACTGGGGCATTCTTCCTTTGAAAGGGATGTGAAAAACCAGAACTGATGGTTGTTCTTAACCCAGCCTCTCCAGAAATTGCTCCTAGAACCTGGGGTGAAGGTCAAATAAGTGTGGGTAGATGCGGGAGACACAGCGTTTCTTGCTTAGATCCCTTTTGTGAACCTAAGCTTCTTAGACTCACCTCAGGAGCAAAGATGAAAGGGAAGGCAGTAAGAGCTTGTCACCTGCATCTGCCAGTGCTTTGACCGTCTCAGCTTGTGCTGAGGAAATAAGGAGCAATATGTTTGGACAGGGTCTCTGTCCAGCTGTGCTGTAAGTTTTGTCTAATATGTATTCTATAGTGCAGGCGAAAGGCTTAATATTAATTTGCTAAATACTCAGCTATTTGATAGTCTTGTCTGAACCCAAGGGTCTCTTGACTCGCGTATATACACATACCCATTTTGTCCTTGCAGGCGTAGGTGTTCCTTTGTCCAGTAACTGCTTATTTCCTTTTAAACAGTGTGTTACTGTCGGCATCAAAGGTTTCAGAGACCAGGCGGGGTTCTCCGGGCTGGTGATGTCCCTTACCCTCAGTTTGTTTTATGTTGTGGAGAAGTGAGGAGGAGGAGAAGTGGACCTGCTCTAAAAGCTCATTTTCTAACCAGCCTCTTGTGAGCTTGTACAGAAAGAAAAAATCCCAACCATCTAAAACTAGAAAGCAGAGCTCCCTGCTTTTCTTAGTGCTGTCCCGCTTTTCTAAGAGAAGGCAATTATTCCTAAGCTGATTCTAGGGTATGCCTGCTTTGTAGGCCAGAGCACCTGTCAGGAAAAAAATGTCCACTTGTCACAGGAAGTATCAGCTGGCTAACAGTGGAATTCCTTAACTAAAAGCTCCCGCCTTGTCAATCTTCTCCCCCCCGCCCCCCCACCCCCGTCCTCACCCTGTGACAACTGGAACATGCCACAGACAGAAAATCTGACCCTCCGAGCACCTGTTGGGAAGCAGTGGAATGTCATCGTTTGGACAATCTTTAAAGCCATCTAGTCCTGAAATGCTGAATCATTAAGGAATTATTTGTATACAAAGATCTTCAAATAACGAGGGTTTGGGCAAATTGTACCCATGGAGCTTGGGGGTGAGGGTTGTCCTGTTTACAGAAGCATTTTGTTCTTGGAGGCCACTTTTTAAAAGCAAAATCCAAAATCTGTCAAATAGGTTTAAAGAGGATGAGAAACTAGAGGTCTGAAAGATCACATGACTAGAGGGGTGAGATACTACATATTTCTGTAAAGGCCTGAACTAGACGTCTCTAAAGTGGATTTAAGAGGAGCTGTTGTTCAGTTGCTAAGTCATGTCCGACTCTGCAACCCCACCGACTGCAGCACACCAGGTTCCTCTGTCCTCCACTATCTCCCAGAGTTAGGTCAAATTCATGTCCTTTGAGTTGGTGATGATATCCAACCATCTAATCCTCTGCGGCCCCCTTTTCCTTTTGCCTCAAATCTTTCCCAGCATCAGGGTCTTTGCCAGAGGAGGCCCGCACTGGGGTTGAGGGGACTGGACTGGAGAGAGGAAAGACTCCTGCCCCATGGAAATTCACCAGTCCTCCTTCCTCTCCTCAGACCCTGGGGTCTCCCTGCTGTTCTCAGAGGGAAGCCCTTTGGCTCCTATTCTGGCGAGGGTGGGGTCTGGGAATCCTCTGTTCTTACCCTTTAGACAGAGGAGACCAGGGGCCCCTCAGAGAAGTAACTGGCCTGAAGGTCTCCTGCCTCAGTCCAGGGATCCTCCCACAGGCCTGTTGTGGTCTTGTAGGCGGGGGTCTCAGTCTCAGGCGACTTGCCTGGGCTCTTCCCAAGCTGTGGGGGATTTGTAGATCCAAGTGAGGGCTGAAGAATGGAAACAGCCCAAGTCACAGCTGTTGGGTTCCACTGTGCAACTCCAGTTAATTGGAGACGAGCTCATTTGTTGGGGAAGTTGGGAGGTTAGGGAGATGATTACAGGGAATGGAGTTTAGTTAGAAGTGTGGTTCGCTCCACTCCCCTCAAGCCTGAAGATAATGTGCTTCAGGCACTGACAAGGTGAAGACCGCAAGTGGCGCTCCCAGGACCCTGTGGACAGCCATCTATACCAGATGCCAACCTGGAGCTTCTCCATCCTCTGGCACTGGACAGGCACAGAGGGCCTGGGAAGTACCTCTGAGATCTGGCTTGGAGTTCTGTGTGCTAATCAATTTCCCACTTTCTTACCCAGACTCCAAGACCTGTTTCCCTCTGCTCTCAAAACCTTCCAGAATAGCCTGCTGTAAGCCCCACTCACCTATTGTCTTCTAAGCTCCTCCCCACTCTGGACGGAAATGTTTAAGGTGCCCCATTTACTGGTCTGCTCATTGGCTAATGGCATCATTACCTTCCAGCCTGCTGCAGGATCTGAATGATGTTCCTTTAACAGCCTGAACAGCATGCTGTGAATTCTGAGCGGCAGCAGCCAGCAGCTCCTGCAGTTCTTCCTGACTTCCCCCTCACGCTGGGAGAACCAGGGCGGTGTGCATTCCTTTGGCCAGGGAAAGCACCAACCCCATCCAGAGGGGAAAACCCTTTGTTTTAAAAACTGAGCTCCAGCCTGCATACCTATGTGATGAGGCAGGCAGCCCAACCTCGGTTTGGGGTTGGGGGGAGGAGGGGCTCAGTCATAGGATAGAGCAGCTATTTTCTCCTCCTACACGTGCACCCCCATCTGTTCCGAGATTTCCCTTCCAACTCCAGCTTGGCTGGCAGGCTTGTCCCTAAAGAAGCTGCAGGCCAAAACGGAGAGAGAACTGCCTCCCTCCTCCACACATCCTGACTTGCTGCCAACTGCCAGAAAAAGAGGGCAACATTTGGGCATTTACCAGAAGACGAGGATGTGCCTTTTCATTTGTCTTTTTATTTTACATTTAAAAAGTGGTTATTGCTCTAACTGGATCAGAGGTAAGGACCTCTGCCCTAAGGAGCCTTGGCCTTGCAGCCCCATTCAGCAGGGATGGAAGTCACAAGACAATGAGTAGAGCCTCATGCCCTCCCATGAGGAAGCCCTTAGTGTTGCCGACATCTGCGTTTTACCCTGTGTCTCCTCCCTCCGTGCTCCACACTTGGGCAAAGCAGAGTGGCGGCTGCCCCAGCCACGAGAGCTCTTGTAGACCGGAAGGAAGGGGCGGTCACTGGGTAATGGCTTTCAGCTCTCTGGCTTGGGGGCCATTGCTCTTATCGTTCAGTTCAACAGGTATGCACTGGGCGCCCATGGTGTGCCAGGCTTGTGCCAGGCGCGGTCTCCCATGCGCTCGTCCTCAGTCACCGACGGAAGATGCAGAGGTCCGTCTCTTCCCACGCAGGCACTCTGCAGCCGAAACTTGTCAGTCCCAGGGAAGGCTCTGCCCTCCCTTAGCAAGCACCATTTGTGTTTTAAACCAGAAAGAGGCAGTGGAGGGAGGGACCCGTCACCTCACACTACTCAGGCTCTAGGGAAGGACATGAGGACCCTGGGGAGCTTTCGCAGAACCCTGGATGAGATGGCAAGACATGGAGACCCCAGAGGCCGGGACCGCTGACTGTCCATGGTGAATGGCTTGGGCCTGCCTTCCGGCAGAGTCCAACCCAGAGGGGGTGATGAGCAGCCCCCAGGGTATCCCATGTGGACGTATCTTTTCACTTGTGCAAGCCAGCACTGTTGCAACTCCAAGAGATTTTTCTTTCTAAAGAAATGGAGCCCATACCTTCAAAGGTCTCTTTCCCATTCTGTCTTCTTCAGACCCCAGACTGATGACCTTACAGTCAAAAACAAGGGTCAAAGAAGGTACAGGATACAGGCCACCGGTCAGGGAATCCCTCTGCCCTCTGGAGTGAAGCCCTTCGATTGTGTTTTCCAAAAGAGACAGAACAGAAAACATCTTACACACTCGCAAAGTTGTGCATCGCACCACAAACAAGTCCTTGATGGCTGGATCCAGCGAAGGCTTGATGGCAGCCAGGACTCTGCCCAGCAGGCAGCCCCACAGCTTCCCTGAAAGACACAGCTTCTGTCAGTCCAGGTGCGTGTCAGCTCCCAGGAGCTTTGTGCATTTTCTCAGAGAGGAGGCCAGTCCAGGAGAGGCGAGGAGGCAGAAAGAAGGCTGTGTCTCATGCAGCTTTGCCTTTTCCAGAATGGGGCCAGGCCTTTTAGTTTGGTGGCTTGTTTTATTTTTTTGCAGAATTGGGGTTTGTAGTTTAGCCTTCGTCACCAGACCAGGATGGGAATGCAGAGGGAGACTGTGCAGCTAGCGGGGCCTCCCCCTCTCCGACCTCGGCAGTCCCCTCTCTCTCTGAGCCCATGGACCCGGGGACCGGCAGAGAAGAAAAATAAAATCCTTCTTCCTGCAGACAGGCAGTCACGCTTCGATGATGTTCACTGAGGGCTTGTTTGAAAACTGGGAGGGAAAAAATGAGAGAAGCGGCCAGGGCTGAATTGAACAGAGTTCTTGCAAGGTTTGGAAACAGGGAGAAGACACCAGAAGGAAGGGAGCAGCAGGGCTGCAGCCTAAAAGCCAGGCTCTCGTCTCAGGTGGAAGGCAAGCGGGAGTCCCGCCTGGATGCCTGGTCTCT